CTCGCAAAGGGAAAGAGAGGAAAGCGAGCAGGAAGGAATATTTCAAAATCCTATCCTTGGGAGAAAAAGATCAGAATGGTTAGCCATCGGTGTGTTTCTCTCCTGAGGTGTATTCCCAATTGTTCCTTTTCATCACTTTAAAAAATGTGTATTTTTACTTCCTGCATCGAAGCCTCTGCCCCCTGACAGATGGTTACATGCTTTTGCGTAACTTCACGAGGCGCGCCGAGCCAGTCTGCACGCTCCCAGTGGGTCTGTAATGTCCGTTAAATAAACCTCGGTGGTTCCGTGAGCGATAGAGGCAGCGCGAGCAGCGGTAGAAAACGGGTCGCAGGCACAGGAACCCTGAGCATCTGTAACAGTTCATTTTTCATTTGCCGATTCACTGTTTTAAGCTCTGTTGGTGCCAACGCTGGACAACGTGCCTTAAAAAATCTCCAGTGCTCAGGAGTGTAAGAGGCAATACGCTGGCAAAAACAGTGGAGGGGCTTAGTTTTTCTACTTGCCTTGCCTGCAATTAGAATGAAATGCATCAACCATCGGTCAGTTTGGTGTTTGCTGTCAGTAGAGACATACAACTATTTTTCCTCTTCTCCTCTCTGTTCTTCCAGAATGTGCACACGGAATGAATCCATCTAGAGACTTTCACCGTATGTTAGATTCCCCATTATATTTTTATAAAATATGCATTCACATATATATGCATATGTATGACTTATGTATATATCCTGTAAGTGATGTATGATATAAATTAACCAAATAATTAAGGCTTTTTTTGCTGATTCAAAAATACTTAAAAGCTATTCTCTACATTATAAACGTCAAGCCCTATAAAATGTCCCCATGAAACCTTAAATGACACCCTCCGTGCAGCAGCTCTACCCCAGTGCATGCCACCGGGATAGGCGGCTCTCCCTGACTCTGCAGGAGTTTACTGCCTTTGTTCTGGGAGCGGCAATGCCTCACTTTTATGGGGGCAAAGTGTTTACTCAGCACCCCCTAACTTTGCAGAAGATGGGGTTTGACATGTTCTCCATCTTGCCACCTGTGAGCTGCACAACTGAAGCGTGAAGTTAAAGTGAAATAGTCACACGTCAACCACGGTACCCCATGGACCCCACCGAGACCTGCACTGGGAGGACTAAGGATTAGATTTCAAAAGGGAAGCTCCTCAAAGCCCCTCCAGAGGAAGAGCTGTTCCATTAACCCTCCAGGCTGGGACCGGCCGGGCAGATGGCGGGTCATCTGTGCGCACGTCCACAAGTCCCTCTCCTCCGAAGTTCCCTTCCCCGGGACATGGTGCCAACTGCAGGAATTGGGTCAGAACCGCTAGCAAAAAAAAACACACACAAAAAAACACATTCTCTGGATTTTATTTTCCCTTAAACGGCACTGAAAATAGAAAGAACTTTCAGGAATATCCCATTTTTAGAAGTGTCATTTTAGGAAGATTTGGCTCACCAGGGGAATTTTGCACTTAAGGGAATGCTTAAGATTCTAATCCCAACTTTCTGCATATTTTATTTTTGACAGGGTTTTGAAAAGGGAAAAAAATGTAAAATATTTAGATATTTTCTGAGACCACCTCTAGTGACAGATTTCCCTAAAGCTGAAGAAGAAAAGACGGCCTTGTTTTCCAGGGAAAGGGTTATTCTTCCTTTCAACTAACTCAGCGCTACCTTTAAAACTCACCGGGAAAGCCTACATCCCAGAGCAATGATGAGCCTTGTTGAAATTTCCGCCGGGGAGCCAAGAGGGAAAAGCCTGGCATAGGCATCTGCCCTACAGAGTGCTCAGTTCTACTTTGCTTTGTGGCAACGGGGTCGGGGCTACCCCAGGGGGTGCGGGGAGGGACCGTGGCCAGGGCCCTCTCCCTTCTCCCAGAGGCGGAGGGGAAAGGCTCTCTCGCCGCTGACCTGAGCCGCCTGGTAGGAAAGAGTTCATTCCACGCAGGAACTTCACGAGCTGCGTGAAAAGCCCTTCGCACTGGGGGTGCGGGTCCCCCTGCGCTGAGTCCCCCGCGCCTGCTTCCCACTCCGGTGCCCCGCGGCTACGGAAGGCGCTGCGGGGGTGGGTGTCTGGTTCGCAGGTGTGGGAACCCCAAGTGCCGGCCAGATTCGGAATAAACCAGCGGGACTGTCCTGCTATCACCATCCCCCTGGGCGTGCGAACCGGGGTGCGCTGGTTGTGATGCTCAGCGGGCATCTTGAAAGGCTGCACGGGGAACATCTATGGCGGAACCTCTCTCCCCAATAAGCTGGGAACTTGACTCCCGCCGGGAGGCCTGGGGGGCGGGGGGAGCCCGACCCGAAGCCCCTCGAGGGGTTTAGGGTTTCAAACCGCCCCAGCCCGGGAGGAGCCCCCTCTGACCCTCCTGAGGCGCGGGTACCCCGATCTGCGCTGTCCCCTTCGCTGGGCCCATGTTGGCCTGAGCCGCCCCGCTCCCCCGTAGCCCCCTGGGGATGTGGCAGGGAAGCCCCCGGAGCAGCCGGTGGGCTCCTGGGCGAATGCACGCGCCGGACAGCAGCGCTTCTCGCTCCCCGAGTCCTCCAGGGCGGGCGGCGGTCGGTCTGGTCTCCAGGCAGGGGCGCCGGCGCTTTGGTGACTGCGCGGTATTTGGAATCCCTTGGCCCACGCAGAGGGTGGGCGTTTGGGAAGGGGGGGGCTTTATTCATGAAGTGGGGCTTCTTAAAAAAAAAAAAGACAAATGAGTTTTCTGTCTCAGACTCCAGGCCAGTGAAACCATCAACACGCATCGGATGCGGGCGGTCCCTGACTTCCCGGAGGAGCAGGGCCGGCGCCCCTGGGAGAAGCGCGGGGGGCAGGAGGTTTCTGGGGACCCCCGCGCAGGACGGCCTGGGGCGGGCCGACCGCGGTGTCCGGTAAAGGGGCTTCGGGAAGAGACCCAGACGCGGGCCAGTCGGGACAGTAGGGACCCCGTGCCCCCCGGTTCCCGCGCCATCAGCTCCGCTGCTGGGCAGCTGGGGCGGGACGCGGCCGCGCGGGCTAGCTCCCTGGGCCGTTTCCTGTCGATTCGCCCAAAACTGAAGTTCTTCCAAGAGCGGCCCAAAGGCCGCGAGGGCCGGCAGAACCCGGCGCCTTCGGGGCGAATCCCGGGTGCAGTGCGGCTGCTGGGCGTCCGGGGCGGCGATCGAGGGCCGCTGCTGCCCCCTGGCGTCCGCGCGGCCGCGGCGTCGTCCTCCAGCCGCTCCGCCCGAGGCGCCTCGCTGGTCCTGGGACCCCGGCAGCCGCCTGGCACCCTCCATGGCCCTCGCCCCGACAGGCAGGTCCGCTGGCAGAGCCTGATGGGAGTGCGGGGCGGCAGCCCCCCGACCGCGCATCTGCCGGGGGAGGGGGTACGGGGGGCGGGGGGCCCCCATCTCGAGGGAGTTGAAGTTGAGGGCTCCGAGGGGCAGTTGGGGACGGGCTCCGTGTGCGCCCTACCTGGAGGTGAGGGACCCCCGCAGGGGAGGGAGGGACCCTCAGTGCGGGAGACAATGCACCGGGGCGGGTCCCCCTAAACTACGCACAAATGCCCGCGGCGCCAGGCCTAGCGGGAAGTTCCCGCTCGCGCGCGCAGGGGCAGGGAGAGTAGCCGGGCCGTTTCCGGGGAGCCGTGGGTGGGTGTGGGGCTCCGGCGACCCCGGCCCAGCGCGAGGTTTAGCGCCGCCCGCGGGGCAGCCGCGCTCGGAGGACGGGGGCGAACCCGGCGGTGCTTGCAACTTTCTTTCCAGTCGCAAGTTCTTTGGGGTCTTTGCTGACTGGGAACCCCCTTTGCTGGCCGCTAAGCACACTCGGCCGGGGCGAGGCGCGCTGCGTAATTAAGGCCGCAGCCCAGACGCGGCGAAAACACCAATTAAAGAAAACAAGCCAAGAGTGGAAACGACAAACACCAGACCCGTGTTGCGGCCGCCGAGAACCCTCTGGCTTCATTAGGACTCAGTGCCACTCCGCGGCCGCTGCCAACCCGCCCTCGGCCCCCCAGTCCCCTCGTGGTCGAGTCGCACCCACTCCGGGGAAGAGGGGGCTCGGGTGTGGCCGCCCGCGGAGGAGCTGGGGCTGCTCTCCGATCCCGGGAGCCTCGCGGCGGCCGCGAAGGCCGCTGTCTCTCCGGGGTGCGCGGGGCGTCTCCCTCCTGCTGGTCTCCTCCTGCCTCTCCGCGTGCCGTCCTCCTCTTCCTCCATCCACCTCCTCGGTCCCCGGGCCGCAGCTGCCAGCCGCGCCGCTGGGCACTGAAGGCCCAGGGCCCCAGGCCGCGCGCACCGGTGCGTGCGTGCACAGCCGCGGGGCGGGGCGGGGCCTCGGGGCGCGGGTGAGCCGGTGCGTGTGTGTGCACGGACGCGGGTGCGTGGGGAGCGCGGGGCGGCCGCCGACTCCCCGCCCCGGTGCGTACAGTAGCGCGCGGCGGCGGCGGGGGCGCGCGGGCCAATTCCAGGAGCCCTGGGCGGGGAGCCGCGCCCCGGTTGATACCGGAAAGGCCTGTGATTGGCCCGCGGCCGCCCCTATGCAAACGAGCTGAGGGAATGGAATTCCTCGGGCCGGGCTTACAGTAAAAGCACGTTCATTTCCAGGCACTCTCATTCATAGAGCCAGCGGGCGCGGGCGCGGGCGCGGCGGGACGGTCGGCACGGGCGCC